GGGTATAATAAGAGAAACTATCAATCGGAGGTCTTTTGGCGGTGTCTCGGCGGTTGCGCAAGTAAAACTTTTTCAWTGATGAACTTTATCAACACCACAAGGTGATTCAGAGAGAACAAAGAGAATAGAGTGAGGGGATTTTAGTCCCAGTGGTTTTATAATAGCTCTTATAAAGACTTGGGAGGGTGGTCAAACTACCACTGTACCTACGTTGAGRGAAAAAAGAAAGCGTGCAAAACAAACACAGCTGGTTACGCTCATTATTTTTATAAATATATGTATGTATATATATAATATGTTATAATAATAATCGTTTGTAATAGGAATTGCTTTCCTTCAAAACGAACATTCCYGGAGACCTGAGAACAGGAGAATCATTTAAGGCAGATCCGGAGATAAAACTGTTTGTGTCAACCTAAGAATCTAAACTCAATTTGCCGAATTTACTTTTCGATTAATCTATTTTATGAGATTAATTCCTATTTCTTGCCTTTCTCGTCCGTTCAAGTCTAAAGTCTTTTTTGAGCTTACGAAAATATGAATCAATACCAATAATCTTCGCTTAGCAATGCATAAAAAAATGTACTCAAAAGATGAATTCATATCATCTTTTCAAACTGTAAGCATGTAGCAACTTCTGTTGAGGGTGACTGGGTGCTTTCTAATTGAATATCCAGTGTTACTGTACTTATTAGAGCACACTGCAAAATTTTGAGGTAAAATGGCTTTGCGAACTATTGTAAATTGGGTTGGACGCGTTTAACATAATTATCGAATGGCCAAGAAGACGTGACCACTAGTTGTAATAGTTCCCACTTGAAGTACATCAAAATGATATTAACTTGAGACCTGAAGTAGCGCAGCAATTATCGAATCAACATGGCAATTAATAATAGCTTAATACCAGTTTCGAGGGTTTCAGTACCACGTTGAAATCTACACATCAGGTCTTGCAATGTTCTAATTATMGGGGGTGCTCTGCAATTAAAATAGTGCAGAGAGTGGATGGATAAATGTGTTTTACTTCTAGGAAATAGTAAAGGGCTAAGTAGAGCTTATTTGTGTCATCTTGACTTCATGGCCCAGATAAGGCATAATGCAGAGTACGTATACGCACTGGCTATATATTCTACTCTTTTTATATGATGTTTTTTGACATGTGATTTTGTAGAGCGTATAATTTTGCGTTGGGCTCTAAAATGTGGTTTGACTATAAAAAGAAGAATTTGCCATTATATTTCAAAAATTATTTCTGTGAAGTGGCTGCCGCGGTTGTCTCGAATAAATTCCAGCCGAGAGGCTCCATTTTCAAACACTTTCGGATTGTATTGGAATTAGACGTATATGATGAGAAAGAAACTTTCCAAAAACTGATATATTCTGAGGACGGGCAAGAAAAGCAACATAACTTTTAACTATCGGCCTTACTAAGGCCACATGRACGCCATACAGTGCTTAGATATTACTGATGACAGGCTAATATTTATGTATAAATCATCTTAAGTCTCATCAAAATTTATTAAATCATAAAAATACTAAAAAGTGCACCATGTTGTTACATGCATATGAGTGTGTGTGTATGTAGATATGTGCTCACTTTTATTTATATAGAAATCCGCTAAGCTGCAATAATGTAGTCATGTGCATGCAGCGCACGTTAACCCTTTTATAACCCCATTTTATTGCAGCTATTCCAAAGAATGGTTACGGCCAATCAGTAAGTGCTAATGTGCGAGCAAGTTGGTGTGTATGTGTGTGTGTGTGTGTGAGTGTTTGTGTGCGCGCGTAATGCTGCGCGTTTGCTTGGTGTTGGGTATCGATTAATTCTCACCTGTTATTTCACTTTAATTCAACCTTGAAGTCGTAACCATTAAAATTATTTCTGCGGCAAGCTAACAAATGCACTTGCAACCACACACACACACACATAGAAGCTAAGGCGTATGCATGTGTGTAAAYATATGTATRTGTGTATGTGAGTGCACCTTGCAACCAAAGAAATTGACTTTTATCGTGATTTACAATCACTTTGGCCTCTGTGTGCTGCATGCCACATATGTAGCTASATTCGCATACAAATATAGTACATACATAGCATGTATTCTTAGTAATGCTTATATATGTATTACTTTTATTCACATAAGTAGGTCTTTGCAAGGCGTTGCATGAATTTGTTTGTGCCGTTAATTGTGTGTACGCTTGCGCTTTTACAAACCCAATTGCACATTATTCGCGTGTGTTTGTGTGTGTCGTTATTTCTTAACCACAGCGTGGTAGTCGCAACGGTTACTTTATATTGCTCCTTTCTTCTTTTCTTTCTATTTCACTCTTTTAGCTTGCTTTTAACGCAAGATTTTGTGATTTATATTTCTTTTCCATAAATTCATGTTCATATTRTATAATCTTTATTAGCACTGTTGTACAGCTTAATGGTTTCGGAGTTACTTTCATTAAATTGACCATCGCAGTTTCGTATGTATTGTATATGCAATATACACCAAAGCAAGGTTAATGATCTGTATAAGAGCATTTTGTAATGTTGCATTTATTTTAAGAAAGTATTTTAGAGAAATAAAAAAATTCAGTGCGCTTCAAAGCTTTAGCATTTTACGACTTTTGAGAGCTCTCTAAAGACATTCTCTATACCCTCTAAGCTTATACAAATGTCTACCAGTAAATAATAGAATAATATAGTTTGCAAATTAATGATATGATCCTTTAGATTAGAGATGCTAACGCCAATCTCACTTAGCTTCGTTTGACTCCCAACAACATCAATTGACTCCGTATGGCTCGCAAGAACATCGCTTACAACCACTGCATTTTTTAGGAACGATTCGCAAAACAATCACAACAGAGCAAGTTGAATTGCGTTGGCGCAGTCTGATTTGCGATGGCTCATTCGATACTAACAAGGTATTCGTCGTTAATTTACTGCTGGCAGGCTTTGACTCACATTAAGTGATTTATAGCAAGCATTGCTTTTTTGAGAGTTTACTAGAACTATAGTTTCAAGTCGAAGTATGTTTTGTCATTCTAAGAACTATGTTATTGTAATTTTTTGTTATTGTAATCAAGTTGCTCCGAAGATAAATTTTTTTAATTAAAGAAACATCTCTCACARACAGCAGTTAAGATAATTGTTTGGTTAAATGCGAACCTCTTTGCTTACAGCCCTTTTMCTTTCTGGAGTTTATGAATCGATTCTAACGGGTGATTCAAGTAGAGATGATCCAAGTATTCGGAACACATCCAGAGCTATCATACAGAAAAAACAWCGGTTTGGTGAGTTTTGTGGKCCGATGGAATCATCGATACATATTTCTTCAAAAATTATGACCATGAGAACGCAACCATTAATGGCGACCATTATTGCGCCATGATAGCATGAAATTGAAGCCTGTACTCTCGGGGACATTGTCTTTCAACAAGACGGCACCACTGCTCAAACATTGCATCAATCAATGGATTTATTAAGAGAACACTTCTGTGAGCCATGTAATTTCACGTTGTGGGCCACCAAGGCCATGTGATATCACACTGTCAGACCTTTTACTGTGAAAATATCTGTACAGTCCAAAGTCTATGCAGACAATCCCACTTCGTTTCAAGCTTTGGGGCAAAACATCTCGCTTGAGTGCTCGAAGGTGACATCAAAAATTGAATTCAATGAATGGATCATCTAAGACGTCGCCGAGGCGATCATTTAAAAGAGAAAATATTAAAAAAATAAATGATAAACAATATTTTTTCCATATTAAATTTGAGGTTTCTGTGGTTTTTGTTAAAAAAAAAAAAAAATAGGGAACCTCGAAGTGGATCACCCATATTTCATATCTAATAAGATATAACAAAATGGATATTGAAATAATTTTTTACCGCATTGCGGTTCTAGAATTCAGGATTGCAAATACCCCCAATATGATTATCCATAATCATATACGCTCACATTTTCACTACTGAAACTATACTAATTGAGGGAAAGATTTATGTATAACCTTGATGTAACATTCATTTCAAGAATCGATCATTTAAAGTAGAGTTGGCAGATTTTTATAAATAAAGCAAATTTTTGAAAATTGTACACTACGTCGCCTTTCTCAAACTGCTGCCAGAAGCGGCTTTTGCCTTCTGAGATTGTTGCCGTATTTATTTTTTTAGCTTACTCGCTCTGTAGTCTCAACCCACATATATTTACACACTTTCAATAAGTTACATAGGTATATGTATGTCTACATTTTTCTATTCTGTCACTATACGCCTGAAAGCACACCTCGGYTTAGCTACACAAATCCTTTACCGCATGTTTGCACGTGCAACTTTGTCGAAATTTCTTTGCATATGAGTATCTTTGTCATATACAATTTTTACTTCATTTTTCGCTGTTATTCTACGGTTAGACTTTAAATGTAGATATGTGTAAATCCAGCTTTATCCTTCTTACCGTTTCAAATCAGATTTGTTGCAGTGATTTCTTTATTTGCGCAAAAATTTTGTTATACTAAGGTAACACATGAATAATATATATATATATATATATGTATATATATAGTACGAGCATTATTACATGCGAATAAGCACTTATGGTTGCCTCCAGTCAGAAATAAATATGGAATCGCCCTTTTCAGATAAATAATTATTCTTCACTTGCACATATGGTTCATATGGCCGAGACTCTTTCGCTTCCAATTTGTATTAGTTCTGCAAACAAACTGTATGAAATTATGTCTTGTTAGGAATATTCGACTCTAATCACAAGCTCGCCACTTTTAACCTAAAATGTACGATTTTAAGTCTAGCATCCACCATAAATACACAAAAATGTTACGCTGTGTTTAAAAAGTATAACATTATCGTTTAGACCTTTAAGTTAAGTTTTCGCTAAATATATATATTTTATTACAATTTAATTAATGTAAAGTATATCAGCTTTGGAAGTGGAAAAAGACAAAAAAAAAAAACTAATTTATTTTCACGGATTCTTTTCTTTACAGAGACTGCAGAGTGGTGCGCGATCCACAAACGCTAAAATCGAAAGGATACGGTTTTGTCTCGTTTGTGAAGAAATCGGTGAGTTGCAAARTATCAAAAAAAATATAACAAATATATATATATGAATACATTTCTATAATTACTAAAACGATTAAATCGTAAGAAAGCTTTTTCATGTTTTTTCCTTTTTTACACTTGCCACTAAATTAAAAATTTAAATTCTCTACAAACTCAATGCGTCCAACGCCAACTGTTGTCAAACTGACACGAATTCGCAGCTGTAAGACTTTACCCAATACCAGCCCTCACCATTCACAAGCACATACAGCACCACAACACGAGTGTTAGTAATTCGGAATTCTCAAGCGCTGCACGCTCGTTTGTCCGTCGCTCATCAGCTGTGTCAGCTGTCAGTCTATAAAGTCATTTCTCAACCAACTGGGACCATATTAGCCGCTTAAGCCTGGCGCCCAGACTGTCTTAAGCGCTGTCTGTCAGTCACATGGCGCCACGCATACACTGGCAAAACATTTATACGCCTGTCATATGGCGAGTCAGTGGCACAGTCGATTTGACTGACGGGCCAAAAGGTGTACCATGTCACACACCTTCAAGGCAACGCCTGACAGCGGCAACAGTGGCGGCTGTTCAACTGAAAAGAGGTTAATTAAGCACAAAGATGAAGACATTTCCACTGTCATACTTTCGCTGTGCGCACGCATACATATTTTACTAGGCGWTTGTATTGGTGTAGCGCACCGGATGTTAACCATTACTATAACCTCACCTATACATACTCATATTTGTGAAACAATGTGTGCTGCCACTTGGCGCTCATCTGAAAATCGCAAAGTGCTTATTGAGTTGGAAACCCATTTTCCAGCAGTTTTTCTTTTAACTTCTCTCTTGGCTTTTGCTGGCGGTTAGCAGCCGCGCGCCCTTCACGTTTGACAAGATTTAACTCAGCAGTCGCTGACTCAGTTTTCGGCAGGAGAATCGAAAATATTATGCCTTAAACCTTGACAGCTATGTCACAACTTTGTTACACACACAGTCATATACATATACATATACATATATACATATRCTTCTGCTGCCAAATGTTATAACAAGTAAACAGCCAGTCAGCCAAGCAGCCARCGCTGGGGATTAATGAAGTTAAAAACCACACTGTCAACAGAAATTAAACAAGTCGACGCTCAAAAGCCAGACGCACTTTCTTTTTTACATATAAGCTTATGCTTTCGCAAGCTTTAAATATCAAAAGTATCARATGGATGAAAGCTTATAGCGTTCGCTGAGCTGTTTTTCCTTTGCACTGTTATATTTTGCGTTTGCCTGTGTGTTTAAACTGGCGGAGCCCTACTCAATACTTCACTACATATGACCTGTCTCTTATACACATCTAGATGTGTATAAGAGACAGGCGTTTGCCTGTGTGTTTAAACTGGCGGAGCCCTACTCAATACTTCACTACATATGCACATGTAGGGATGTAAATAATGAAACTTGCTACGCTGGTGAAAGTTTTTACATAACCTCTAACCTCTACCTTTTAATATTTTAACTTTTTCATACCCAAATTATTACCAAGCTTGCTGAAATAAGCTGAAAAAGCAAACTAAGCACTTTTCCTACTGTTACTACTCGCTAAATAAAGTCATATGTTTGTTGCTGTTACTGGGCCGTGTAACACCTTTTAGTTCTAATCGTTATTTTGTCGAATTAACCCTTGGCGTCGACTAGCGAGGGCTGATGAGGGTATAGATTATGTTTTCCAAAACAGAATACAAAATTATTTATGCATTTTAAGTGAAAGTGTTTTACATACAAACTTCGTTATATGCTTTGCCTGTGAAGATAATCGCAGTGGTAGAATTAAGGTGTCCAAAATTTACAATATTTTTGAAAAATATTTAGTTTTAAGGAAATGTTTAAAGATTGATGACATTTATACCACACTAAAACCACAAATTCCAGGCTTTATTCCTTTCATTGATAGTGTTGGGTCTGGGGCTAGTCCCAAACTCAGCGCACAATACTGGTTAGAKGATGTTTCGTCTTCTCACTTAAGCACGCCTTCAAGATGATGTTCTTAGGCTACCAAGAGGATACATGGYCTAAGACTGGAAGTCRTGCGGTGCTTGAGCCGTAGGTAAAATAATCGTTTCTAGCCACTCCCAAGTGAATGATGCTCAGAGAATTCTCCTCAGTTGCGTGAACTTCTACACATGGCTCCATTCTTTGATTGGAGCAGCAAACTTAATCGAGCTGGTACAGCAGGCGTATGTACCATGTCGTTCCAATGCTTGAAAACACTCCAGCTCTGAAAGTATTGGACGCAGTATCCGTCGAAGTAAGCAGGCGAATTGAAAGACCTCCACTTCATTAGAAAGACCAGGTGGAGATGGACCTCGCTACACTTGGAATCTCCAAGAAGAAATCCACACATAGAAAAACGTACAAAGTTCAAGTTGCTTTTTAATTCTAACACAAGCTGTGTAAGAAGTTTGTATGAGGTCTTAAATTGAAATACCATGTATATTCTGACACAAGTATCATACGGTTGAATAATTTCATTGAATTCAATAAAATCGTAAAAAAAAAACTCATGTGTGTTGACTACAATCCATTGAATCGAAACKAACTCTGCGTTATATATAGGCATAAATTTAGAGCTCCTGTGTTGAATGTCAAGCTCGTGGACCAAAGAACTCTTATTGATATACCTGCATTAAATTTTTCTGTTTATTTGCTTTGAGAGTTCAGTATTTTGAATGGTTTTATCACTTTAGAACAGGAGCTACGATTTAAGTAACCATTGGGTAGGTTAGGATAASTTCGATGACTGATCCAGTGATCGCAATTGGAGTACTAAATGAAGCTCTTTGTGAAGCCGTAAAAATAGACAACTAGCTCGGGATACCTAACAGTGTGATCTCTCAAGTGTTTAAGCCATGACGGAAGAAGGAAGTGTTGAGATGTTTCCACAAAGTCTCTTCCACACAGCTGCTTTAAGCTGACATCTGGTAACGCTAAGATTCTCAACATTACAGCATTTTTGCCGTGGCCTGTTAGCACTCTCATAACTGCCCTCACTGAGGGTAAAGAGATCACTGCAACCAATCGTAGGTAGCTCAGCGCTGGCCTAATTAACATGAGGAGCGTGGAGCTCTTCCCATTCTACTGATAGCGATGTTTTCTTGAATAGGCAACAAAGAAAATCGTCGAGAGCTGGTAGTCTTACTGTACACCAAAAAATACTACAAAAATTACTTTTCAATATTTCTTACAACTTCACTTATGTTACATAAATTTAAGCTATGGGTATGTCTACCAATATCATACGTCTCGCATACACCATTAACTCTTATTCTTACATACTAACGTTATAGCATATCAATATTCCAAATTTTTCACGACACGAATACACGCAAAAAAACATACATACACGAACATAAATTTAATAAAGAAATTCGCAATGTCAAAAAGTGCGTAAAACTCACACAAGTACGAATAAATCAAAGCAACAATGTCAACCGGCATTCTGCTTTAAATCAATGCCGCTGCCGCAGGCGTTTCAAATTTCTGATTTTCTGCACTGTTGGTTTTCGTTTGATGCTTAAAACGTGTCTTTGTCGCATTTTCCAACTATTAAACACATGAAATTCAGTAGCGTCAAAGCGAGGCAAGAGCTGAAAATATTTGACACACACACAGAGACAACCATGATTTTGTTCGTGACATGCACACAATGATATTCATGCGTAAGTGCGTTGTACATACATATATACATACAAACATATGACATGTAAGACACGCAGCCAGTGGCGTAAACACTTGCGAATGTTACACTTACAAAGTGGGTTGGCAAACAAACAATTGCCCAGGAATTGAAGCAAACATGAAAAGAATAAAAAAGAGCACTACTGAATTATAAAMAAGTAAGGGGAGGCTAAATTCAAGTGGACTTGAATTTTAAAGACTTGAGGAGCGTTGATATCCCACTCTTCAATATATGGTTGGTATTTTCAACAGATTTCTGATATATTACATTTCAGTGATATATGTATCTTTACAGAAATCGTTTATAGAAAAAATAATACTGTTAAGCCCTTGTGAAAACTATAAAAATAGGTTCAGCATAAGTTTCACTATAATATTATTTACTAGATATGTATGAAGTAGACAGAAGTTTTGCTAGGAAGTTGCTACAAGGTATTGTGAAACTAATTTCGTATTTCCAGCTTGCTCAGAACATTTTACAGATCTTGCGAAAACCATCTCTATAATTATGATTCAGAGTTCTTTTGATGACCATGAGAAGTATCCCTCGAAACAAAATCTTCGTTAACAAGAAGGAAATCGAGAAAAGGTGCAAAAATTCTAGCTTCAGCTATCTTCCAATATATTGATGTACCTTGACTACCCTCTAACTATTCCTTTACTAGCCCAGCAATGCAAATATATAAAAAATTAGCTTTATTTCGAAAATACTAGAACTAGCCACAAGAGAGCTTAATCGATCTCTAAAATCCTTTTATGGTATCATATTCCAAGTTTTTTGATTTGAAAAAAGTCAAAAATGAAAGATTCGCGCAGTAATAACCTTAAGGTGTTGACAGACAGAGTATTTTATACTCTTCATGAGTTAAATTTAACCGCTCTTCAACATTAAAAACCATTATAGTAATAGAAAWGCTTGAGTATTCCATATGCCTGCAATGACTTAAAAATGAGTTCCATGTGCAACGCATAATCCATCCTCTCTCGCGATAATTATACCTCATATTGAAAATGGAATCGTTACACAAAAGCTTATTTCTTACTTCGTCTACCAATTATGATGGATTTTTCAGCTTTCCCTTTCACCAACATGGTGATTTAGGAAAGAATATGTTAAGTTGTTTTTTCTCACCATTCCCTCAAGTAAAAAAAAAATCATGATACCCTCGTACAAAATTTTTCTTCGGCTTTGAAAAATAATAATGATATGTGCCCTTAGGCAACCATTTCATGAAACAGTTTAGAAGGCTTTAAAATTGTGAAATTTTAACTGCCTGCTTAGCGAGYGCTCG